GAATCTTCTCAGGGACTAGAGAAGGGATTCCCAAATGGTCAACTTCACAGATGAACTTCATAATTGATCTAGGGTCTTTAATGATTGCATCTCTTTTCTCTATATATTTCTAAATAGTGTTCGGACTGCAGGATGTATGTGTTAACTGAAATGGTTCCAGAGACTGATACCACCTCTTCTCATACTTTGAGAGTCTGATTTGGTTTGAACCAAGGGATTTCTAAGGTTCCCTAATGTCTCCTTTGCATACCTTCAGATTCTTGCCTTGCAAGGTGAGTTGTGATGTCATCACTTAGGATTGAAAAGCACCAAACTAACAAATCAGCATGGATTAAAAGAATTTTCCTGAGATCATTGCCTTGGAAACCTGAGTGGCAAGATACACAGCTTGCATCAAATGGCAGTAAGCATGGTCATACTCTAAGTGAAGCAATAACAATTAAACCCATCAACTTTCACTGAGGTTGAGAAAACAAAAGACATTCCAGTTTACAGTGGCTCCATGCCAGGAGACTGCTGAGACTGAAGGAAAATCAGACTGCAGACTGAAGAATGCTATCTTCTGAGAAGAATGTGCTGATGAAAAATTTCAAGAACAGCAGCTTGCTTAAGGTTTCTTCCAGAACGTTGATCAGCCAGGACCTCAAAGTGTTACTGGTCAGGTACATAGTATACAGCAGGTGCAAGGAAGGGAAACACACGAAATCTTCCCTGAACAAATTTAAAGGGAATAAGATCTGATGTTACGTGCTGGCTGTTAACTTTTTTCAGTAACCATAAATTAGCCTGTTAGTGACAAAGGATTGAAATATCACCTAGACCTTTGAAAATACAGGTATAGCTTATGCAGGAGGCAGGGGCGAAAAGAAAAAAAATGTTGCCCTGAAAATGAATTTAGGGTTTTCTGGACCACGACAAGATTAAATAAATGTTCCTTGCCATTGGCAAAATAATTAATTTCAAGTCTCAGGTTCTATGAGTTGGCATCCATCTCCTCTTAAGCTAATTCTTTTGAGCAAAGTTCCAGCTCTAAATTTCTTTTGAGAAGTCAGGCAAAAGATGATGATTCTCAATAGCATATTTATCTAGCTATGACTCCAAAAGTTCTGAGGCGCATAATCGGGTAGGATGGAGTCAAACTCACCTGTAGCAGGAAGAGCAAAAAGCCACTTTGTCAAAACCTACTGTATCCAAATTCAAACACTGAGTTATATAAGACTCAAAGCCTCATTTTTGTATTCCCCTGCAATCAGAGAGGTAAACACCTCAATTTCTCACACAAAGTCTACTATCCTATGTTAATATCAATAACTTTGAGGTTGCCAGAGAGTTGCTGGGTTGTGGTAAGATGGTTTAATGTAGTGAATTCAAATAGGGGTTTTACTTTGAGA